TCTAAGAGAACAAGCTAATGGGATATAGTAAGTTCAAACTTGGTTGTTGACCCTAATCTGGCCGAACTTCCAAAAGTTCACAGACTCTTGCGAACTTATAGATCTCTGTGGTTTACTGTTGCTTTATCTTAATCCCTTGAGCTTTGTGTATAGGCCAAGTCCGTTATTTTCGTACATAGGTCCATGAATAAAAAACCTCTCAAATACTGGTCTTTGGCGCTGGGTAGTTTCATTTTTACTTCTGTGCAGTTTTGAATGGCATAAAGCCTCAGTATGCCGAAGTCCGTGTCCGTGTCCGTGGCGCAGTACGATAAGCTGCCCGAAATGCAAGGATCACGCTCCGCAGCAAGAAGCCCTACGGAACTCGGCAGATATAAGACTAGCTAAAGGCCCTGGTTCTCTTTAAACCTCGTTCCCTATCTCACTTCATTATCAAAGTATACACGCTACAAAAGTCATTCACAATGGCACCGAATCTAAAATCAGTCGTTTCCAAAAACATTCGCGACCATACAACAAGAACAGTCCTCAGAAAGGCCCTGGAAGAAAAAGATGGAAAGACCTTGGAACAATCACGAGAGACCGCTGCTATGATCAGCGACTGGGAGAAACTCGGCGAGAAAAGGGGAAGACAAAGTCTGGAGAATGTTGATAAGGCTATACAGGAAAAGAAGCCAGATGTCGATGGTATGACGGATGAGGAGCTCAGTCGAATCGGCATTCATATTTCTTCCGCTGAAGAAGAATCTGGAGAAAAGTCAGATGAGAAAGTGAAAGATGAGGAAACGGCCAAGTTTGATGAGTATAAGCATCATCAGTTTATACGCAGATGGGGGCTATTTCAGGACTCGGATGGGCGTGATGAGGAGTGGTTCATCGCTGACCCGCCCGTTCTTGAAGAGACGGATCCTGAATATCTTTGCGATATGTGTCGACATATTGATTTCAAAGTCCTTCTATCACAACGAGGCTTACCAGGCAATCAACTACCAGGACAGTCACGCATCTCAGTTTACGGCATCCCCAAGGTCATGGATGAGAACAGTCATTGTTCTTTCTGTAGAATGATGCGAAAGAGAGTCATTCAGAGTGGGACACTCGCGGATGTTCATCCTGATGACTGGCAGGGGATGCAATTGAGCATCAGCACCTTGGATGATGGACTGGAGTTTCCTCTAAGGCTGGAAGTCGAACTCTCAGATCTTGATCGTTCAAAGGTTTCAAGACTGGTGATACATCCTGTAGAGAACGATACAGATCAATTAAAGCCTCTTCAGGGTCTTGCGGTTCAAAAGGATTCTGCTGATTTATTCCGCCTTGGGGTTTGGCTTCAGACATGCAACAAGGATCATGAACCAACAGAAGCCGACTCTACTGGATATCTCAAGCCTCTCATGAGCACACTCCGGGTCATCGACGCGGTTGACAATTGTGTGAAGGAGGTCGCCACACCATTCGATTATATCTGTCTTTCTTATGTCTGGGGAACCGGCAGCCAGACACAGTACACTACTAAAACAAGAGATCAGCTCAGTAAACCCGGAGGTCTGGGTAACGTCGAACTTCCACAAACTATTCTTGATGCTATCAAGGTTACGAGAGAGCTTGGTGTCCGTTATATTTGGGTCGACGCTCTGTGTATCATGCAAGATGACAAGGACGACAAAGCTAGAATCATATCTAATATGGGAACTATCTACGCTAACGCAATGCTATCAATCATGGCTTCTTCCAACGCCAACCCCACCGATGGGCTCCCAGGCGTTGGTGTCCCTCGATCACAGGAGCAGAGCATCGAAAAACTCCAAGGAATCACTCTTGCCGTCGCATTTCAAGATGCTAGACAGAAGTATTGCGATATCGAAGATCGACTGTGGAATACCAGAGCGTGGACTTTCCAAGAACGAGTCCTCTCAAGACGATCAGTCTACTTCACCGAGTCGCAGATGTGCTTTGTCTGTCCCCACGGAGCCTGCTTCGAGGATACTGTTCCTGTCTCTGACCCCATTTCATACACCATGACGCCTTTCAATGACCATCTTCAGCTAACATCTCGAATCCACAACTTGTGGGCCCGTATATGGTCGGATCCAACTCAGGCTGCATACATCAATAAAGCCTTCGCAACAGAAGATGACATGACAATTTTTGTCGGCGAAGACCCGACTACTGGCGAAGCTTCAGAGGATGGTGCCCCATTGTACAAATACAAAGCCATCCCGAGCTCAGATACAATCGATGCACCTCTCATCAAGGGGCATACACTCTGGGAAGCGTACGCTCACGCTGTTGATGCTTATACGAAGAGAAATATGACCTGGCAGTCCGACGCCGTGAATGCCTTTATCGGTATTGCAGACCTTATTCGTCGCGGCACAAATACAAAGTTCTGGCACGCCATGCCGGAATTTGCTCTCACAAGATCTCTCCTATGGTATCCCAAAGAACCCCTTTCTCGACGACGATCACCAGATGGAAAGATTTTGTTTCCTAGTTGGTCATGGGCAGCTTGGCAAGGGTACGTTATATATCGTGGTAGAGGATTCCATAACGCTGTTTGTTATACGCCAGTTAGCATGATAATGTGGCTGAAGTCAGCTACAGTTGACGAATTCATGGAGACGTTTGTGCAAGTGGAGAGAACGCAGGAAGAAATCGACGAGACGAGACGCCAAGCTGAGAGTTCACGTCTTTTGTTGCACAAGACTGATCTTTGGTCTCTTTTGCATATTGACTGCTACGAGCATGGATGGACAGTTGAGCATAACGAGGACCGGAATCAGCATCTCTTTGTGCACGAGGCGTATCCAGACATGAAATTCGAGTTTCCGATCAATCTTCCTCATGAGCCTATCGTGGAGTTACCCTTCGAAGACACTTTATACTTTCGTGCAAAAGCGGTGTCAGTTCGACTATGTGAGAAGCCATCTGAGTCGTACCTAGCGTCACCTATACAAGAAAACTTCATCCAGATAGGAGTCAACGATGAGGATCGATCAGCCAACAACCGTCGGCCGTGGCAGCGTATCCTCTACCATCAAGGCTATCGTGCTGGAAGTTTGAGTCTCAACATCTCGCTTGAACATCTCAACATTCCGTCGACAACCGAAGAAGTCCAGAATGCTGCAGTCAAGTACATCCTGGTGGCCATATCTCGAGACAGTCTTCCATACGTTGCACCTCCACCCATTGGTTGGGAAATGTACTGGGATGGTGATCCGATGAGAATGCAGTATGAAATTCTTCAAGAAGAGTGGCTACAGCGCAGGCGCTTGCCTGAGGCACCTGATGAGAGCGTGAAGCCAAGTACTGAGAAGGTTAATGAGACTGGAGATCCGCGATGGGATATGGGTCGGTTTGGAACTACCAGTGTGTTGGATGTTTGTAACGTGTTGTTGCTGAGAGAAGCGAGGGACGGGGTATCTGAGAGGGTTGGTGTTGGCAAGATCAATTACTCGGCCTTCTTTGCTGCGAAGCCTGAGCCTGATGTGTTCTATTTAAGATGAGTTGGTCTAAACTCATGTGAATCAGTCTTAACTCATATAAGCTGGCCTCAACTCGTATAAGTCGACCTAAACTCACCAAGGCATCATCCTAAAGTTTAGGGAGTTTGGAGTTTGGAGTGAATTTCGCACACTTTTGCTAGTCCATTCTCAGTGTGCCAGTCATCTACTTCCTCACGCGACGCCTCTTAGTAGGCTCCGTGTCGTCTTCTTCTTCTCCTTCTTCGTTCACCCCTCTCTCTGCTTCGGCGATGGCGTTCTATTAATTGATTAGTACAGGGCTAACCAGAATGTAAGAATTATAATACCTCCAATGGCTTGCAGGTACGGCCATTGACATGGCTTCGAACAGCATTGATCTTGCTGTGCAGCGACACTCCTCGAAGTCCTCTGGTGGTGGGACTCTTCGCGTCTTCTAGGCTGCGAGAGAATCCGGGAGGCTGCTGCAGACAACATCCTCCTTCTTCGTCTCCTCCTATTCAGCCTGACTTTGCGATGGATGTTGGACAGGATTTCTCTGATCGACATTGCTTGTAAATCTATATACACATTAGCTGTGAGTACCTTCTTCAACGCGCTAGACTTACTGGCGGCAGTGGCTTTCTGTCGGCTAGTGGCCAGAATGTCTGTAGAAGAATCCATCTTTTCTTTGGGATGTGTTTCTTTGAAAAGGAGAAATTTGACCAAGTGACAGAACTCAAGACGGCAGAGGACGAAAGACGATGTTGCTGATGTTGAAGCTGGCTCTGAAAAGACCTGGATTAGAGATTGTGGAGGAATTGGGTCAGCAATGCCCGTTGAAAATACTGCAGCGCTTGGAAGCCAGTGAGTCAGAGGCCTTCTATCTGGGGAGAGCCTGTCACTGCCATCAAGTTTTGCCTCGCAAAAGCCTCCCCGTGCTGAGTATTACCTAATCTCACGTGTTCCATCATCATCAGCTCCCATCCTGAGCCGTTTTCTCTTCCTTTGCTCTGTCAAAACTCCCCCCCGCTCTCTCTTTCTATCTCCCCAACAAACTCCAAAGACGAAATGGCTGCTCCTCCTGATCAGACGCTCACCATCACTGGGCCTAATGGCCAGCCCCACCTCGTGTCTCTCATTACACTTCCTATCACTGCAGCAGAGTTGGCTTTGGCCCTTGCGAATCTCCCACCGCCTCAGTCGAGGATGAAGTATCCTCAGTTCCTGCCGCTGGTAAGTCTTAGCTCTTCAGTTTTGGCCACACAGACAGATTAGATGGGATATCAACTATAAACCATTCATGCACTCTGTATTATATCCTAGTAAGAAGTTGATGGCTGATTTACCTATGTATCGATAGAAAACCCATGACTATCAAGGAGATCTTGGTGTGTATCCGCCGAAAGGTTGAAGCCGACACCGAGCAAAACAAGAATCGGAAACGGGAGTTGTTTTTGGACAAGAAGCGAAGGGTCCCAACAGATGACCTTTTTGCTGGCGTTCAGGTCAAGAAGATGAAATAGAACAAAAACAAATCTACCGGTGCCATATGGGCGCCCCAGGAATCCAACCCTTTACCCTCTGACATACCAACAAATCCTGTGCCCCCCCTTCATCCTCTCCCTTTGATCCAATCGTGGCGTAAATCGTGAAGCCACACCTCTCCAACGTCTCAATTAGCTTGAGCAGTATAATCCTCGTCTTCACAGTATCTGTCCCTGAAGGATTCCACGGCATGTTTGCAAGATGCATCTTGACCCTATCAGGTGTGATTTCTTTACGTCTCACATCATGACCAAATGTTTGAAGTATTGCGTCTGTGAGGTCTTTGGGCGGTGAGTCTACGATCTTCAGTTTATCGCTGTTGTCAAAGGATACACAGATCCAGTCGCAGGGCGGCGGGATAGGATCTTGTTTTCGAAAGATCAGGGAATCTAATATGTTAGCTAAGTTCATATGAGATTTAGAAAACTCACCTTTGCTCTCCGACTTGAGAGTAATCTCCATAGCGCCCTGTAACACCCAACCCATATCAAATAACTTCTCCAGAATTCTCAGCATTAACCTCCTGGAATCATCATTCCCACCAGATCTGTGCAGCCAAGGTCTTCCGCGAAGCCTGAATTCCATTGACTCCCCGTAGGGTTGCACATGTGAAAGACCAGGGGACCACCGCTGCGCGACGACTTCTTTGATGCCTGATACTTCTGCTTCTGTGAAGTTGACGAGGCGGATACGGTCGAGCATGTTGAAGGTCATGCAGGCGAATTGGGTTTTGAAAATGGGGGGTGATGAGGCCATTGTTTCTTGGAATGATGGGGGGAGGTCTGGAACCTTTTCGGGAATGTCTGTGGCTTTGGAGGAAGACATTTTGAGATGACTTTATAGATTGAGTGCGATGCTGAATGATGAAAAGTGCCAGTATCGTACTGCGGATGTGAATTGATGTTGCGTGCTAATGTGTCGCTTCAAAGTGGGAATAGCGTTATTTGCTCAGTTAAAAGAACCTCAAAACCCTTCTAGAATAGAGTGGGTTCTGGTTGCTTTATACACAACCCCAGGCTAACCAAGTTCTGTTGGTCCTGCTGCCTTACTGTGGCTGTGCGAGGCGCAGCAGGATCACCACCACACTCAAACTGATCCTCACTGACTTGGATTATTTCTAGCCATAAGCTGAGTATCAGATCTTTGTAAACAGACCCCAAAGCCAGAGTTGCAATTGAAATAAAGTTATCTACTGAGGAATAAACCAGCCAATGAGAAGGTCAGCCGAAGGAAACGCAATGCCATCTTGTCATTAGTTTCTTTGGGAGAGTAGGTAAATGAGTCACGGCTGAGGTTTATCTCAAGTCGTATTTTTGACCAGCTGTTTTGATGAACTTTCAGCGAGGCAGCTGCAGCTTTGAGACTCGTTGATTTCCAACTTCGTAGCAAGATTTTGAAGCTGTCTTGGTGGAAGCTGATAGGAGATTCTGGATGATGTATCGCCTCAGAGTTTTGGAGTGTATAACAGTAAAGAGCATCAGCTCAATCAACATCTTTGATTTGTCTCACTTGGTCCTTAGCCAAGTGTAAAGATGAAGCAATTCATAGTCAAATACTGCTCGAGGTGGCTTCCCTAGTTCTCCTTTGTTGCCAAATCGGAGAACACAAAATTCTCAAACATCTCAACCACTTGAGGATAGTGCCCTTTGTGATATCACATAAGGACGATGTGAGAGAATAACGAAGGTTAATTTGGCAGAATGTGGGTGTCCACACCATCAGAATCTGCGTTTCTCATACTCCCAACTCCATCTGGGATCGCGGTATGATGCTTTCTTGTACTTCTCTGACGGGCAACTGGGACAAAACAGATGATAAACGGATTTGTTCGCACCTGACATCTTTCCGCAGGAGCCAAAAGTACCCAGGGCACGATGACATAGGGTCTGTTCCATGCGTGAGTCGTAGAGCTCTTTACACCATATGCAGGTGAAGTGTGTCATTGTATTTACACACATGGTTGCTGGTTGATGTATGAGATTGGTGGTAACTTGAGGAGCAAATTTGAGCCGTGAATACTGAGAAGTGCAGCCATATTTATTGAGTGATCTTCGAGAGATGTTCTTGACTCACTCATGATCTCTATGTACATTCATTTGAAAGTTAATATCCTTAGTTTTGGATCATGGGCCCCCGTTCAAGAAGTTTATATGCTATCGGAACTCCAATCGTCATTCATGGACAATTTGGCTTTACATCAGTCTACCTTACTGAGCAAGCTTACCAGGTATTACTGGTAGATCCAATCGTTGAGAGATCATATACAAGAAATAGGCTTCTGTTATTTGTAGACAAACTTTTAGCAAAACATAAACCAATGGACAGTGGGAGCATTTATCGAGCTAAAATTGAGTAGAGTTAAAATTCATAAAGATGCCTCTTCGCCATTCATTAATTTTAAGCTCGGGGAAGTTGATTTTCAAGAAGACCACGGTCACAGGTTTCAGATTCAATGGAGGACAGATTTGAGACTGAGGCACATGAACAGACCTTGGCCTGCAAGGTAGCGAGAAACATCCGATTCCTTAGCCCTCTGCCTGTCCATGATATTGTTGAAGGCTTCGTTGCTCAATAGAAAAGGATGAAGGCCATATTGCTGAACAATCGGCATTTCGGCATCCAGCGGCACTATAAACAACAGGACGAGACTGATGGCCATCCATGTTTGTACCAAGCTTGTTGGGGATTTCTTGGAGAGAAGAGAGGAGAAATTTCCTTGGATCTTATCGAAGAAGAGCATGTCAATATATTCAGCCTGATCTCATCTTCTAAAGACTTCTTTCAGTTGCACGAGACATATTTAGGCTTACAAAACTACTTTTTGCATTTACTCAATGATTGCTTTATCCTGGATTTAAGAAAACTCACTGTTGTGTCTTTCTTAAGTGACCTTTGGCAACTACTTGAACTGTGTTTATGAGAGTGTCACTTTGAGTCGTAGACCTGATAGCTAAGAACTACATCGCGCACCTTACTCGTTTGCTAAATATCAGAGGATCTTAAGAGCTTGAAGTGAAAGAATGAAGGTCCTAGACACAATGCCAGCGTGAACACCCCTGTGAATATATGGACATCCGAACGAATGATCAGAGCGGATGGATTTTAAGTAAAATTCCTCAAGAGAGTATTCTTTGCATATATCGGCATAACGTTAACTTTGGTGGTTGGTCGAAGTAGAACTGTGCTTACTATTTAAATTATTAATAATACTGTTCCTTGATCTGACGTCATGATGCTGTATCAGGAATGATAGACATGTCAACCACAAGGCGTAGAGAAGCAATAAAACACCACGCATTAAAGCGCCATAAATTATATCACCATTCATTTAAGTATTTCTCACTTTCATACAACCATGTCACTCAAAACAGTCAAGACACGAACCTTAGAAGTCGGATACTACGACCACGGCCCATCATCAGGCTGGTCTGTTCTTCTATATCATGGCTTCCCATACGACATCCATGCATATGATGAAGTTGTTCCGAAACTCGTCTCTGCCGGTGCAAGAGTCGTCGTTCCCTATGTCCGTGGTTATGGCACAACTCGCTTCCTTTCAGATTCAACGATGAGAAGTGGCCAGCAAGCGGCTCTGGGCTCAGATGTCGTCGAACTCATGGACGCTTTGAACATCGAAAAGGCAATCCTTGGTGGCTTCGACTGGGGCGGGATGTCTGTATGCGTTGCAGCTGCACTCTGGCCCGAGCGTGTCGTCGGACTCGTTTCATACGCGGGTTACGACATTGCCGATCTTTCAAGTTATCAAAAGCCTTTTTCACCGAGTTTGGAATGTGTTTGTTGGTATCAGCATTTATTCCAGCAGGAACGGGGAGTGGCATGTCTTACCGAGAGTCGACGAGATCTCTGTCGAATTTTGTGGAAGCAGTGGTCCCCTTCGTTCGTATTCTCAGAAGACTTTTACAACCGAACTGCAGATGCTTTTGATAATCCTGATTTTGTCGATGTTGTCATTCACGCTTACAGATTCTGCTTCGGTAATGCGAAAGGTGACCCTGCTTTGCAGAAGTTGGAGGATGCTTTGGCTTCTCAGCCGAAGATAAGTGTTCCGACCATCACTTTGGATGGACGGCAGGATCCTTTGAAACCAGGCGGTACTGCTGCACACGCTGAGCGCTTTTCTGGTCGTTGCGAGAGGAGAGAAGTTGACGTTGGGCATGCATTTCCCATGGAAGCTCCGGATGAGTTCACAGACGCTATCCTCACGATTAAGAAGTGGGAGACTGGCTAGCTAGGAAAAGGAATCTTTTAAGGCGAATATAATAGCTTTAAGTAGCAGCTTAGGTTATTGATTTTACTATTAAGGTTATAAAATATTTTTATTTATTTTCATTGATTTTTTATATAAAATTAAAATAATAAAATAATAAAAAGATTTAATCTAATTTAATATTAAAAGGCCTGTTTAAATAAATTATAATAATTAAAATTAAAATCTATTATATAAATAAAAAGTAGTTCTAGGTCCTATTTCTTTCCAGGTAAATTTATCTCTTTTAGATAACTGGCATAGTTTGGCTCTTACGGCAAGGGGATTGTTGGGGTAGTGCACTGTAGTTTCGAAGTTGGCCTCGTCAAGATGAATTCATGTACAATCTCCCTCCTTCTCATTCCAGGTGCTGATGGACAAGGCTAACTTCTAAAGCGAAGTGTAGCTGCTGGTCCAGTCTTGGAGTAGGTCCATCATGCAACGATCTTACAAGGCTGATAGCGGATACACCCATTCTTTCAAGACTATCGCAATTTCAAGCACATTGCCTGCATTAGGTATCGTAGAGAGGCCGAAAGAAACCATTGTTGGGATTATCAAAGGTCAGAAAGCTGAAGGAGACAAGATGCATGAAACTTTCATTTGGGATATATAAGGAAGCAGATTAAATATTTTGTGGAGTTGGGCTGTGGAGGGAAGGTAGCCGTGTCGTTTGTCTTTATGTCGCTGCGGTCGATGACGATCGAAATCTGATGACGGTCTATCAGATGCTTCTAACTCGTCTTCCAATCTTCTAACGATGAAAAGGAACTTGGCACGCTAGTCAATATACTGCTACTTAGGTCTTGAAATCAAAGGAAATCGTTGTCATCCATAGTTGCCTTGATCCCGTTGCATCCGGAGAAGACGAATTGCAACGTCACAGCAACAATTGGTTCTGGAGATTGGAAGGATTCGGTTGACAAAGGACGAGGACTTCAACATCGTTGACCTAACCTCAACGACATCATCAGGTTTGAGTATGGACAAATCGATTTCCGGCATTTACGCATGTATCCCTGAATAGAAAGCCGCAGTAGGTCTTGGCTTAGTCTCTCAGACGATCCACCCTATCTTGTTCGTTGATCAGGGTTCTTGCATGTATTATCACATTAACGGGAATGGAGCTTGACCACTGTTTTCCTTTATCCTGTCACGGATGCACAACCCTTCTAGGACTAGTTTTTACACATGTAATTGGCTATGAGATATATAAATGTAAACTTCATCGGGACTTGGTTCTGGGAGCGAATTATAAACGTACGACAGTGACTCTTATTATGAAAGCCGCATATAATATTGGAGCCGATAGCGCTTCAAACCTTGAATTATGTATCTTATTGCGGCGGCAGAGCCTTTTTAGGTCTAGCGTGTGAAGGAAGATTTGGGTTTGGAGTTTGCCTGGAAGAAGCCGTCGGGTGGTCTATAATTTAAGTTAGTGGCTGCATGAGTTTACAGAAGCAGGTTTCTGGCCCGCTGCCAAGCAATACCTTCCATTGTATCACAAACGTGGCTCACACACATGCTGAGCCAAGCTGGAAATCTTAGATAGTCAGCCTGGTGTCCAAATTCCTGTACTAAGAGTACATCTTTGGCATACAATGCAGAGTTATTACTTAGGAGAACAGAGGCAATGGGGAACGTTCGATTGAGGAATAGCAGGACTATAGTTAGTTCCCGAGCAACTTTCGTCTGGACGATATCTTCATTACGTGAGCTATAGAGAAGGACCTATTACAAGGCTATGTGGTGTCCTATCAGCTTACAAGGAAACAAAAGGAATTGACAATTGATGCTTCGACAGCTCGTAGAACTAGGCGATTACTCCGAGCACGTTCTCCGCGTTATAGGAATACAACCACTTTGCACCAGCTTCAGGACCCATCAACTTCAAAGCAGCCCAAATGATCCACTCCTTGGCAGCCTGTTCGTATGCGTGCGGGCTACTCTTGCGTAGAGTTCCATTCTTGGAAGTGAAGTCCAAAACCTTGACAATGCGATCCTGGCGGTGACGCTGCCACTTTTCGAGAATTTCTCCCGCAAACAGCTTGTGACTACTCCCAGGATGAGCGAGACGGAGGTCACTCAGGCGCCCCAGTACGTAAGAGAGTGTTTCAGCATCCTCGAATGCCATAGCTGCTCCCTGGCCGCCAGTTGGTGGAATTGCGTGTGCTGCGTCGCCGATAACGATAACTCGTCCGGCAGTAGATTTCCAGTTATGAAGTTCTGGAACCGAGAAAAATCTGTGCAAAGGTCAGAAACAAGTATGGTAGAAGCCTTTCCATTATAGAAACACATACGGCCAGCTTGTCAAAGTATCTTGCGGGGTTTTCTCGCAAAGCTCTTGGACTAGAGACGGCCAACGTGAGGTAGAGGAGGCAAAGCGACCAGTGAGCCATTGGTGGAGTTCAGACTTGTTCTGATACAACTCAGACCATTCCTCCTGACTGCGATCTTCCGCTTCAATAGTAGCAAAATATCCGATGTTCTTGCCGTCGAAGCTGGATGGCATGATGGCGAAAGAGCCATTGGCGCCAAACATCATGGAAGGGAGAGAAGGGTGCGATTCTGCATGCATCGAGGTAAGTTCTGCCTCCATTGTAGAGCCCATGATGCCCATCAGGCCACTGAAAACCGGCTGGACAGCTTCGATATGGTTTCTCACCTTTGAGTGAATACCATCACATCCAATAACAAATCCAGCCGTGACTTCCTCTCCATCTTCGAACAAGGCAGTCGCACCTTGATCCGTTTCTGAAGCAATGCCCTTGAATTTTCTCTCATAGTGAACAGGAATACCGCGTCGCTCGCAGGCGGCCAAAAGTTCGTCGTGCACAATAGATCGTTTGATGCGGAGAGCAGCAAAGTTATACTGCTTTTGACTTCCATTCAGAAACTTCCCTAGCACATTTCCCGAACCGTTCTCAAAGGAGATCTCTTCATAGTTGAAGCCTTGGGTGCGTAGTCGACCGTAAACACCAATGTTGTTGAGCACTCGAGCAGCGTTGGGTGCTATGGCAATGTTGCCTCCCGACCTGTACGTGCGGGGCCGCAGCTCATATATGGCGCTGGAAATTTCCTGTTTATTCAAGGCCAAAGCCAGGACAGGGCCCTGTACTCCGTTAATGATCGATGCCTTATGTAGCATGAGGTTAGAAACACTTACCGCGAGCCCACCACCGATGATGACTACTTGCGGCATTGGGAAGAGTGAAGATGCTTGCCTACAAGCCGGAAATGTTGAGCGGAGAATATCTTGGTGAGAGGTTTAGATGAAGTACCATGTGCATCATCGACACTTAGTTCCTGGCTACAGCGAGGTATAAGTAACGGTCGCGAAATGTCGTGGGGCTCTTGATTTCAAGGATAAGGCATGCTACATTGGCCTCTCTGTACCGGAACCTCGCAGCCAATCTCAGCAGAGCTAGTAAAGTGGCAAGCAATGATTGGACACAATATGTTCAAAGGATGGGCTTATGTTAATGACGGGGGTTGGCTGAGCCGGCTGAGCCGGTCATTAGAGTTGGCGCTTGCGACTCGGTGAGAGTAGGTCGAGGACGTCGGCCCCCCTTGATCGGCGATCTGCTTCCTTGCTGGAATTGCTATCTACGGAGTCAATATGTATATATTGGATCAACTTTTGTTTAATCCAGCCCCCTCACTTTGACTTTCACTTTCGATCTGCAACACAATATTCTACTTCAGTGTTTTGTTATATGTTACTGAGGATCACATCAGCATATGATCTGGAGGCGACGAAATGTCTTGTTCGGAATGTTTCCAAGGTCATACTCGTGATGGAACTCCCACGGGAGAAGTGCGCAAAATGTTTGGACGACAAACTTACGTTGCTACCCCATCAGACAAGCCGGTCAAGGGTATCGTAATCATCGTGCCTGATGCATACGGTTGGGAGTTTGTCAACAACAGGCTACTTGCCGACCACTATGCATCCCGGGGAGATCTTCTTGTGTATTTGCCCGACTTCATGGACGGTAGACCAGCTCCCCTATGGCTTCTAGTAAGTTATGACACGCATATCCCTCGACAATTCGCTGAAGCCAACTAATCAAGACAGGACGTTATGCCTCGAGTAGGAGAAACCAGCACAATTTGGGATTGGTTATGGAAACCGTACGTAGTTGGAACAAACTTAACTTCTTCATTGTTCTTGACTAATTCTCTCCAGATGGTATGTCGCTCAGCTCGTGTATGGGGTTGCGCCGTTCTTCATATATAACAGCTTTGGTTCCGCATGGCCAAAAATCCGGTCATTTTTTGAGGCTGTTCGTTTACATGAAGTACCTGAACGACGGATTGGAGCCGCCGGATTTTGCTGGGGAGGTAGACCAGTGCTAGCCCTTACACATCCAGATGCCAAAACTGCAGACGGTAAACCGCTCGTTGATGTGGTTTTTACAGGTCACCCCAGTGGCCTATGCCTACCTGGCGATGCAAGAAAAGTCACTAAGCCTGTGTCAGTTGCTATTGGGGATAAAGACCTGGTTATGCCTATATCACAGATCAACGTCATAAAGACTACCTGGCAGAGCTTGAGAGACATTTCGACAGAGGTGGTCATATATCCAGGAGCTGGCCACGGCTTCTGCGTCCGTGTAGACCCCAATAACGAAAATCAATATCGCCAAAGTCAAGAGGCGGAAGAACAAGCTTTGAGATGGTTCGGGAAGTACCTTGGCTAGCGGTTATCGCTAACAGTGACATTGTTGTGCCTGCGGATGAAATGGTCTCAGAAGTTCCGGGAAAGCTGGTAGGCAGGATACGCGAAGTGCATTATGTGTGTCGTTATTAGTTTTGACCTTGAGGCCTAGATCTTGATGAGTCTGCTGTTGGAATGAAATACGTCACAAGTGAAGCAAGGTCCCTGAAAGTCAGTAAAGCCCGACCACATAGCCGTGGAACCTAGAGTGTGGCAAGCACTGATAGTTTCGCATTATCCTGGTCCAAATGTCGCCTCGATGACCGAAGTGTTACGGGATGATCAATGTATGGAATACATATAAAGGAACGTCACCCCACCTCCAAGACATACAAAAGCTATTGTCATCAGCAGTGGGGTGACAGCCTTGGACTGCACCCTCGCTCCCTCTAGATCTAAATTCCTAGTATACATCGAACTTCAGGTTGTCAGCCTATAAGCCTGCCGCCTCAACAGCATTGTGGAAACTTTACATATGCTGCTCGGTCCGTGCAGGGATTTCGATAGTTACGGCGATCATGAGGTAACGTTTTATCTCCATCTATCGGCGGCGAAGCCTTCCTAGGTTTAGTGCAGTATGTGAAATAAGACTATGGAGTTTATATCAGCATATAAACTTAGTTCTACCTCCCTATACTGCGCTAAACCTAGAAAGGCTTTGCTGCCGACGCACTAGAAACCTGGAACTCTAAAACTTTAATGCATGTTCTATACTGAGCTAGGATTAGTCCATTGTTATGTGACCTTCTTCATCCTTCGGTCAAGAATTCCTGTAACCTATACGTCCTTAGCTCAATTCGCACGTATTGAAGTGTTAGAAAGGAATCTTTCACTCGCACCAATGCCCTATCAGATCAATCCACATATCAGGTCATCACTAAGTCCTGCAGAATGTATGATCATGACGTAGTTTTACTATCATGTACGATAAGAAGTTTGGCGTACTGTTACCTCCATTCTACTACCACCCGCCATGCAGCTAAAGGCAATGCTTGCATACCTTACCAGCACTCACGCAATGACCAGGTTTTGTATTCTTTTGATGCCTACTGGCCTGAATTAATGGTGCCGCCAAAGCTTTATAACTTGCCATAGATCAATTCGACTTTGGGTAATAACTCTGTTCACTTCTTTAGCGTAGTACCTTGACTTCTGTGGCTCGTTGTAAGGATGGGGTAATGAGTAGGTAGTTCGGAGACTCCCTCCATTGGACAATGTTCTACTCATAGGGAAATGATATGGCGCATAAAGTACTGGGCGTGGGGTCAATGCTTTCAGCATTCATTGTCGTGAGATCAGTAGGCCGGGTGGTCTTTTGCTATACAGGTCCTTAGCCACCATTAGCAAAATGATTCGTGGACTTGCTGTTCAAGGAGGACTCGGCATATTGGGAGCGGGTTCTTTAGTTCATGACGGGAAGCTAGTTTGACATTAGGAGGGTTAAAGCATGATGGCCTTTGCATTGTACCCAATCGGCCATTGACTTAGGAAAGCTGACAGGGGCTCACACAGCCCACGAGAATTACGATAAGAAGACGCGCGTCCTGTACATGGAAGATGCCATCCGAAGTGGAATAAGATATTACTCCAGATTGATCCGCTGACTATTATAACTACCTATCTCAACATACCAACTCTCCCATCCCACATTGGCCTCGTCTCGTCGCAACGCAAGGTGTTGCGCTGGCAGTGAAGGGTGGGGATGGTGGTCAACAAACGATCTCGTTTGAGGGCGATGGTGAGTTCAAGGATTCGCACAACCAATAAACACATTGACCAGAGTGGTTCCCAGGGTCTTTCCAGTTAACGGCACAAGAACTTGCAACAATTATTCATCATAAGCTAGATGTCGCCATGTTCTTGATCGAGCTTGATGGTTACACGATAGTTAGTCAACTCTCGAACCAATAATCGAAATCCTGCCTTGCTGACTGTGTCGTGAGGAGCGCTTTGTCCACGGCCTTGACGCTCACTACAACGACATCCCCAAGTGGCAGTATGCTAAACTCTCTGAAGTTTTGAGCCCAACGGGCCAGGAAACCCAAGTCAAAACATGGAATATTTCTTCGCGCAAAGAAATCGACGCGTTCTTAAAGACTGAGGCGTTTGCTCTTGGAAAGGGACTACAGGTAAGTTGCTAACAGAACAGTACAGCTGATTACCATCGCTGATGGCTATTTAGTTTTTCGATATCCACATGCCAAAGTTGGATGCCCTACAAGCTCTGATCGATTGCGGAAAAGGCGCTGGGGCGCGTGTTGGCTAAACCACGATCACATCCAGGAGGCTGTGTGCCAACGCATCCTTAGTAGATTGGGCGTTCCATATGTACCTAGGTAGGTAGGCACAAAGCGGTGAAAATAATAGTCCCATTTTACATTAGTCGTAGTCACATGATTCAATTCAATCCATACTCTTTATCCAGCCATACCCTCGCTCGATATGCGACCTCTTTAGCTTCATCCGGAATATATTCGCCCTGGTCTTGTATCCAACAAGCTGCACGAGCAAAATATTGATTGATCCTGGCCCATCTCGAGGGAATTTAAGAAGACACATCTCTTATTACAGCTTCCAGCATGGGTGAGATTGATTCCATGATGACGTTTGCGGATCTGGTGATCAGATGCCGCTGCCGCTGTACTTAGTTTATACGATCAGGATCATGTGTGAGATTCATCATAAGACGAATAATATTCAGAAGCATTTGTCTGAGCGCTAGCTGCCCTTGGTGGAGGAAGTTCACCTTGTGATCTACCCAGGAATCATTATAAAAGCGAATCTGCGGAATGAAAGGTACCTAAGTGCGCAGCCTCAGATATCTTCGGGAGCTGCTTCTGTTTCGTAAGTGTCTGATAACGTGGCTTCCAATAGTCAGGAAGGTTCTGCAACAAAGAACCCAGTTCAGCCAACACAAGCTATATCTGCCTAGAACTCTCAAGTAGCCGTTCTGCTTAATTAGAGTCACTACTCCAGCCTTTTTTCGATATGTTCCTGGCATGTGTAAAACGTGCTTTGAGCCTGCAGCAAAACCAGACCCAGTCTGACGGCCGGTACGGTAGTATTAAGTTCTGACCGCAAGCAAGCAAGCTGGTAATGGCTCATGGCAGAATGTAAGTTGCCGAGACTGTAGTCGATGGTGTGCCATTCGGTACAGAGACCATCCTTTGGCGGGAAAGACTTTAGTATAGGTAGGTAGGTAGGGCTGTTTTGATTTTGGTAATTGCCAGGGGCCAAAAAGCGACATAAGAACGTCAGCTTAGGGCGGACTTAGGGAAGGCTCAGGTTAAAATTACGCATTAGGCTGTTTTATAACTCCCTTCATTCCAGGCCTGTGTAAACGAGGGGTCCCTGGCCAATCAAGCAATGCCCCGCATTCGAGAACTAAACTTCGCTGCAACAACATAGGTAATCTCCACTGAGGTAGGCTGGGCTTTCTTCTGCAAGGGCCTTGCGGTCACGAGAATACAATTATGGCAACAACTACTCCTACTCGTTCTCCTCCTAGAATCACCCGAGCTCGGGCCGCCTAGGAGATAGCAGCACCAACACCCACACCAGCTCCGCGAGAACGCAGCCGTGCAACATCTTACTCTTCTGCAGGATGTGAAAACAGAAACAACAATCATGACTACATGGAGGAATCTAAAGGCATTTCTGTTCATACCGCACTATCGACCCTAATTCACAGTAAAAAATTCACAGACATGACCATCATCTGCGGCCAAAGTCAATTCAAAACCCACCGCGCTGTTGTATGCACGCAGTCTCCTTTCTTTGATAAAGCAATGAGCGGGGAATATATGGTGCGTTCTCAAGACTTCAACTAGCCGAGCTCTAATCGATGAAACAAGCTCTAGCAACAGAACTCGATAGCACGTCTGAGGCTAACCTATCATGACATTGGGAGTCTGCATCAAGATCTATTGAGTTTCCGGAGGATGATCCTGAAGTCGTGGAGCGGTTCCTTGAATTCTTGTATACTGGAACCTACAGCGACGGTGTGGATTTTACCTGGAGAAAGCCATCTGAAGCGGCTTTGCTTGATCCCGAAGCCGTTATTGAAAACTTGCAGCAGCCGGCGTGCGGTTCCCAAGAACCCGCGGAAGGAGATGAGGATTGGATAACCTACGATGAGGCAGATGAAGACGAGCAAGCTGAAGACGAGCCAGATGAAGAATACAATGAGTACGGCGGGCGCTCGGGTGCTCCTTCAGAGAATGGTGATGGAGTGAGGGATGAAGAATCTGAGCTCGCAAAAATATTCGGTTCCTGCAGTCGGGCAGAAGGACTAAAAAAGCTCACTGAACTGCGCAACGACATGACACTACCTCTTCAGCTGTATGTCATGGCCGACAAGTACGACGTCCCTGCCCTTCGACTCCTAGCGCGTGATCGATTTTACCGCGCCGCGGAGCTCGTTTGGGAAGAGGCCGAGTGTTTTCCTGACGTGGTTGATGAGTTGTATCAGACCACGCCGCCGACGGACACTGCAATGAGGGAGATTGTATGCAGGCTTGTTGCGTCTATGATCCATGTGCCTAGGGTCAGGGATAAGGTCAGGAGTGTTATGATGAAGCATGAAGATTTCGCTGTTGGGGTCATGGAGTATTCCATCCATATGCACACGCTTTTTGTCTGAAGTTGCCCACAGTGAGCAAAAGATTTTCTAATGTCTAATCAGGATTCTAGATAAACTGGTCTAAAAGCTTGCTATAAGCTATAATAAAGCTACCTAAGTCTTTTCATGACTTAGAAAGGAGGTCGTTAGAGTTCTTACATCTCCTTGGATGGGTTATCTGTGCAACATGTGCATGAGGACTTGGACATAACAAGGATATTGACAATAATTTGCTCAAGGCGGCCGAAGAACCTGTTACGTTCATGATCATTATCCTCAGCTTTTTTGAGTAATCCTATCCTGCAGTCGAGACTTGAAATACCTGACATCGTGAGCTGGCCCCCGGCTAATGTTGCTTGTTGCTCGGCTGGAAAGCTGAAAGCTCGGCCATTACCCAAATTTGACAAATATACGTGGCAAGGCCATCTTGGCTGTGACATCCGTTACCGGGCGAGGCTATGCATGTGAATCCTCCACGCAGACATCCATTGAACAAATCACGATTGCAGGATTTCCGTATTTTATTGGGTATTTACGTATAGCGTGTACTAACAAGCACATGACCATGCTCATCTCCAGCTCGGCTACGAGTGAAGCTTTTAGGATGACGATCCATGTCTAGGACTCAATAATAAGCATACATAAAGAACATGCCAAGAATAGAAGGATTATGAACCCTTTCTTGTCAGAACAGGAGGCTTGTGATGACATTTTTGCCCGACTCCGTCCAGCTCAGCCCCAAAAGAAGAGTCAGCCCCACCAACCACAGGCGGCAAACACGGCAGCCAAACACACAACGGCGGTCAGAACAGCGAGGCACGCCCAAAGAGGAAGCGCCCGGTTTTAGTGGTCGCGTGTACCCATTACGCGGTGGCCTTGCAATTTTCTCCCCTGACGTTGAAGATCTGTCGTCATTTTTAGTTGATCAACGCCTGCGCCTCGTAACAGTAACACTTCCAAAACAGTTCTGGAACCGGTTCTCGCATCGCCGCGGGCTGCGACAGACTTTCTTTTCTCATCCGGTAAGCAGCAAGATATGTAAAAAACAAACAAGCATTAAATTACTGCGCCTCAAAAAAGGTCCGTCGGCGACCGGAAAGTATCTCATATTGAATATGTACTGGGCTCAATGGGGGGATAGGCCTTGCGAGATGGCGCTGGCGGTGGCTCAGATTTGTTTCACTTCTGGCCAGTCAAGTGTTTTGCGTTTTGGGCTCTCCAACGTGGCTTGCTTCCAGACTCAGGGGGGGCTGCTTACTTGTTGTCTTAAATTATTTTGTAGGTAATAAATTACTTGAGAGAAAAAGTCTGCGCGTAAAGCTAAAGTGATAGGTACAGCCCGTCAGCACCAATGTTCCCCTGATATACATTGTAATATCTCCTGAACGAGTTTTTGCGGCCGTGCTGAGAAGGAATGTTTCATCGTGGTACGTCGACTTGGGGGCCGCGGGTTAGCGGGTGGAGTCTCTGGACCTAGGTAGCCTTTTAACTCGGGGATTTGCGTTTTGGTGCAATCTCGATGCCAATGCTTGGTATTGCAAATTAGCAAGGTTATGACCTTGGAACGACAATCTTGGCTGGCATTTACGTCTTCTGTCACTCAACATGTCAGGAATCTTAGAGGGTCTTCATTGTCTTTTGGCGCTTTCATTGTTTTACGGAGATCAATGAAGCGGCCCGGGAAATGCCTTGGAGGATTCGACCATTAGCAAGTCCCAGTGCTAACTTCGGTTACGGCACCAGCCCTAGCAGCGACTCTGGCGAATCACAGACTCTCCCACTCAGATGATCTGTCTCGAATTAGCGTGCTAGCGTCAAGCATGCCGTGTGCACAGTGCCTGGGGGCCGCAGCGCACAATGTACCTTTAATATGAGCCTCTCACCGACAAGATACTCGAGCGACTCGATAAGATTAGGTGCTCCACAGCCCGGGTTTATAGTGGGAAGAGAGCTGCAGCTAAGGTACCTTGTCATGACTGCCGCAGACCGGACTGTCTTGTGCTTGTCTTCCCTCCTTGGCTGTCTGCCTTGTCCACTTCCAACCCTTCAACATCCTGCTTTTCTGTTCATTTTGCGTGGCATCCTTCTTGATCGTCGTCCTTCCTTCGTCACTTCTCTTTTGGTATATTGTTCCACTACGGCCCACTTCTGTCTCTCCCTTAACCCTGGCTTGACATTTCTATCCGAAAACCTCGTTTCTTTTTGTCCCCTGATACATTCCTCCCTCTTTCTTCACTATACATACATTTGCTGCTCATGACACATGCCTTCACACATTGCTCTCCCTGGCGCTGCGCGTCCTCGCCCTAGATTTCGTGTCAACGGTTCAAATTGGAGATGGGTCAAGAAGGGTTCGACTTTACTATTTGTCTTTTTTGCGTTTACGTTCACAGTCTACTACTTAGTACGTTCCCTCTCCTCGATTGAAGCTCAAACTGACCATCAGATTCATAATGATAGTCTTTGGAGACCAACGGGTCCGATATTACAAGAAACCGGAGTCACCCCAGCCAACATCTCTCCAGGGGAAAGAAAGTTTGTCATCGTTTTACCTGTCGACGATTCGAGTCCCGATCTCTGCAAGGTTGTCAGCAGCGCCGTGGCGTTGGGGTATCCCGCGCCTGTAATTGTCAATTGGAAGAAAGACTTTCACACCGAGGCCGACGGTATTGGACCTTCGCAGCTAGGAAAGATTACCGGTACACTCAACTACCTAGAATGGGCAACAGGCGATGAAGTCTCGTCGGAGGAGAAGCTGGGAGAGGATGATCTTGTGCTCATGCTGGACGCACACGACATTTGGCTACAACTACCTCCGAGCGTCATGATGCACCGATACTACAGCAGCAACGAGCGAGCGAACCGACGAATTGCAGAGGAATATGGTTTCTTCGATAAGGAATTAATGCAGCAGACCATCATTGCCGCCGCGCAAAAGGGATGCATCGCCCCACGTGATAAGGTCTCGAACCTCTACTGCAACGACGTCCCCGATAGCACCCTCCCCGAGAACGTCTTCGGTTTCTTCACCGACTATACTGTATCACGATACAAATACATGCGCCCCAAGTATGTCAACAGTGGCAGTTTCATGGGTCCCGCAGGCGACATGCGGCGATACTTCCAGCGTGTCAAAGATCGCATGGACCAAGATCTCCTTGAGGTCAGGTCTGCCGAGGACCTCGCTGGTGACCAGGGTATTTTTGCCGAGATTTTTGGCGAGCAGGAACTTTGGCGCCGACAGATCAAGCAGGATGACTTTGATGGCGACAACCCCGGAAAGGAGGCAGCACTTTCTGCCCGAAACGAATTCGAGTACCACGTCGGCTTGGATTACACACAAGAACTTTTCTACCCGACTTGCTACTCTGACTACGGCGGTGCTTTCGTGTCACTTGACGATCCCTCTACGATTGCCAAGGAGTCGAGCCAAGCTGGCGTTTCGCCCCCTCGCGTAGGTGGTGTGCCAAGCGACATTTCCAAGGCTGAAGCTCCGTTCGCTCAATTGGATGACCACGAAGGCGGTTGGGGCGACGTTGCGCTGTATGTGGACTTTTGGACGACCTCTGTTCCCGTCGCGATACATCACAACGCTTGGAGAGATGGATTAAAGGCCCGTCGTTCGACATGGTGGGATAAGACGTGGTACTTTCCCCAGCTGCGCAACCTGATCGAGGCGCACATGACCGCAAACACAACAACACCGCTAGCGAGCATTACCGCCGACGACGGTAACCTGGAGGTTTGGTCATACGGCGCAAAGACCAAAGGTAGCGCGTCGCTACTGTTTGGCAAGAACAAGGACACCAAGGCTTGGGAATTGCGATCGACAGATTGGGATACGATCTGTAAAGCCAGTAATGAAGCGGAGACTGAGTCGCGCTGGTATGACGAGGTATTTAGGGATGGAAAGGGATTACTATAGAGGTCGATCATGATCATTTGGTTAGGAGTTCATTCATAGCGTGTGTTTTGACCATTCATGATAGATACCAATTCATTAGACCATTTGTTTGTCGTCAATTGTGGTTGCGTGCCTTGTGCGACCGAGGGCTTCTGCCAATCGAGATTTGTGACACATGGCCAAGAAATCTGCGTTACAGCCCCAACGTCTTTCTTGGCTGACGTCGGGATGTCCGCACTAGGAAGGGATCGGCTGTACCTGCATGCTTCTAGACTCAGCCCAAGGCCGGAGAGTTTTTCTGGCTGCCGGTCTTGGCGATGGGCTGCGCCGTCGGGATCTACGCGGCGCCATCGGCAGTCGTTGGCATGGATAAAGAGAGTTTGGATATGGCCGGTGTGAGAATGAGGAGTTGGAGTTTATCGCCACGGAGCGGGAGGGAATGTGTCGAGGGTCTGGATTGCTTACGCTGTGGGATGGATCGAGTGAGGCATTTGGGTTGGTGTAGGGTTGGTGGTGACAGGGTTTGAGATGAAATGAAGCGGCTATGGAATGGCCAGGCAAGCTCCAATAGGCGAGGCATTCCCATTTGGTATATCGGCTCGCACTATTGGCCCATTCTTTGATTCTTTGTCTAGAGTAGGTCTCAATCGGTAACTAGATGGATCTGAAGAACATATGTTAGTACAAATATATCATCGTTGTTCTTGTTATGCTTTTTACGTCTGTCACATCGACACTACTATGATGTCGGATAAGGCTAAGACTTTCACCGAATGTAGCGATCAATCTGGCGATAAGAAAAGATAATTGCAAGTTTCTGGTATCTGTGCATGTTACACGAATTCGGTGGATTATGTATAAATATCAGTCTCTCCAACTAGCGACCAAATTCTCTGCTGATTTGCTCCCAGCCACAAGTCTCAACTACAAACCACAGTATATTTATCCAAGCTTATGATCTGATTCTATATATACAAGACGGTCCTTGTAGTTCTTCGATGCCTCGCGATTCTTGTCAATCTTATCTTTATTCTTATGAATAAACTCTCGACCCTCTTTCCGATGCTCCTCAGATAGTGGCTCAGGAAGTATATCCCGGGGTGGATTATACCACTGCTCTTTAGGAACCTTTGTCCCATCAACTCCGCGAAAGACTGCCTCTTCCTCGTTATCATAAGGGCCACGGTCCAATAAAGCTTTTATCAACGCAGGTCTTAGAGCAATTGCATAGTGGATATTGCGCTCAGCATCAAGATAGCGGAATACCCCGTCACCGCCGAGGTGTACAATGCCTAACAGGTCTAGGTCATGTTGCTCCATTTTGTATAGAATGTCGCTCATTTCTTGTTGTTCTGGCGAAAGATCTTTGTATGCAATGCCGGGGCAAGTTGCTCCGGCGGCGTCTTGATGCTCCGAACCAAATTGAGACATGATTGGAGGGTGTTTTATTGAATAGTAACTAGCAGTGAATTTTGAGTGGTAAAAGGCCAGGCATGGGAGTTGGCTTATCTTTAAATAAACCGGATTTCAACCATGCAATTATGGTACGAGTTAGAACTCTGATTCTTTTTATTGGCCGAACGAGCAAGCTCTAGAACTGGTGCGCCTTTTCAAGACGTGTAGTATTCACTAACTTGATGTGCCGAGTTCCGAACCTGATCCGCTTGATCCGCGTTCTATATTCACGTGCAGGTTGTTCCTATATGTTAGTTACTAGAGGCATGGCTTGCATCTTTGTATCACTGTCCAATACTGGTACTATGATATTGACTTAAAAGATTCCCTGCAGGCCAGTATTAAATGAAAAGAAGTGAAAATTAGTTTAATCTGTAGGCCTTTGTAGACGGCTTGTTTAATTGTCATGGCGGTACTTTCTTCCCGATGGAGCCTTCCCTTTAGCAGGGATTTATGCATGTTGGTACTCAACTCTCGTAAACTCCGATTGTCATCGACCAACAAGAGCCCAATGGCAATACTCACGCAGTTTCTAACATGTGATTTATACAGAATGTCAGGCATAAGAGCTGCAACAGGAAAAGGGCACCCTACTTGATTCCAGACACAAATTTATTCAGTACTATCGTGTTCAACAACAAGTCCATTTGCCTTGTATTTATATGAAAGCCGGTACAGTTATACCTCTTCACTGCGATGAAGCCAGAGTCAAGGTTTAATTAGTAGACAAGATCCTTCTTTCTCAAAGTCCTACTCACTGTAGCTTTGAGCGCCAAGTACACGGTTGAGATTCCCAAAGATGCCATCTGGGTCACAGACTGGGATCAGCTTCACGAAATGGGTGCAAAGTATCCCGACACAGCCCCTGTCGAAAAGTACGGTGGTAATGTAATTGAAGTCGATGGGAAAATTGTTCTTGCTACAGATGAGGAAATGACCAAACAGATTGACAGCTTGATTAAAGAGTTGGAAAAGAATGATACAGGGGTCGAAGCAGAGACAGAGACTTCAAAGAGGCGAGATGTAGAGATTTTTGGACCTACTCGCCAATGCAGTCACCCTCGCTGCTTTTATGACGTTACTTGTGATTCTTATACTTATTGTCACATCTGTAGGCGCCCAACTGGCAAAAGGGGGTTCTGTATTTAAATTTAGTTATCAGTCCTTAGATAATTTCAAGTGAGATGGATCTTATGCATGTAACAACATAAAATGGTTAAATTCGAATACTGGGTCAGAATCACCCTATGTCAAACAATGCCGTGTCGTTGGAGGCTTGTTGTGATGGAAGAATATTTGTAGGTTTAGGCTGCACCAGTTAACCTCAAGCCCCACTTCACGCATACTCCGAACTCAGGTTAAACTCATCTCACCTGCTTATCCCTTAATTCCAATTTCATTTCTTCACCCTACAACTCAAAAAGTCTAGCAGCAAATTAAAACCATCGCTTTAGCACCTAGAAGAAGTAAGCTCCGGCTCATCCCCTCTCACAAGACCAACCTGACACAATCCTAGCCATGACAACCTCACCCTACCAAACCGAGACTTTCACATCCGAGAACTTGGTCGAGAGCGCTGGGACAATCCTCTTCCGCCTTTCAACACAAGATATATGCATCATGTGCGATATAAAGCGCAACGAATACATCCTTCCCAAAGGACGTCGCAACATAGGCGAGTCACGCCGCGACACTGCCATCCGCGAAACAACTGAGGAAACAGGAATACCCTGTCGTCTACTACCCATCAATATGAAATCTCGACTCTGCCCATCTGACGACAAAGACGCCCCTGATGAAGCGCGTCTTTTTGAAGATGTCTGTGAACCGATTTCAGTGCAGATGAGAAGGATTGGTGAGGGTGAGATGAAGATCATTTGGTGGTATATTGCGGCTGTCAATGAGAATGAAACAGTTGAGAAATGTGAGGGTGGGTTTGAGATTGAGTGGCATGGCTATGAAGAGGTTCTGCAGAAGTTGACTTTTCAGAATGATCGGGTGTTGGTAGGCAGGGCTATTAAACTAGCCCAATCTCATTACCTGTGAAAGGCTGAACCATCTCTTAGATTTACTTCTATCTGTGCCTATCCTATAGTAAGTGGCAAGCATTATGGTATAGTGTCTTGGTTATGCTAGATGTATTTTTTGCAGTTGAGACCTGTGACTGAGAGCTTAAATCAGTAGAGAGAACTTTGTTATCATACGCATGAACCCTTAGCCCTAGGTAGAGTAATCACCAAACTAAAACCATGTCAAATTCTAAAAATGTTATTCGTAAGCGTAACCTTGGTCTGTCTTTTGAAATAGCCCAAACCAGTCGTCAAATAAAGCTATGGTATCCTGTCTCGCTAGGCCAGCCATCATCTAGACCCGTTATCTCTGGTTTCGTGCCTCTAGCCTCTAGCCTCCAGCATGTACTTCGAAACGCCCTCAACAAGATAAGCGTGCTCCCCCTTGACAGCCATCATCCTCTCTTTCATCCGATCCCCATCCTTCTTCATACAAATCAACTTGCACAGCGCTCTCCACAACGGAGTATCAACCTCTTGCGTAGAAGAAAAGACGTCCAGCACAACGTCCTCAAACTCCTGGGTAGCCTCCCAGTCGGTCCATGTCCTATTGACCCAGCGATTTCTGGCAGCCGTGTAGAAGCGATCTTGGCAGAGGAGCTGAAGAGCGGGGATGTTGTATTTATGGGCCATGATGCAGAGATTCATAGCGAGGATTATCTCGTGCGGTGAGTCAGAGGGTGACTTGGCTGTGGGTTGGGTCTGTGCCGGGGCGGGTGTAGTTGACAGTAACCTATTTGATCGTCTTACAGGGCGCTCTGGCACATTATCTTTAGCAATGTCTTTTTCGATGGGACAACGAGGATAACCGCCGAGTCTATCTTGAATCTCCTTCGCTCTCTCAGCCTCATGCGATGTCATAGGCTTTTGAGTAGTGTATGTTCCAGTGTAAAGAAACTCGAGTAAATGCTGAAAGACTTCTGGGTCTTCGTCTAGAGTCAAACATCTAAAGGTGCGCTTCTGCGACAGGTCAGCGAGAGCATGCGATAGATGGGAGATCGCGTACCTTAGGCGGGGTTGTGAATGCCTCCGCAAACCATTCGCACTGCGTACACACAATAGCACGATGAACCTTGAACTCGCGACCACCGCAGACGATCGATATGTCAGAGTAGGCGCCATCAAAGAGAAGCTTGTAAGAAGAAGCGCGTACCGAGGAAGCGCAGAGCTCATCCACTGTGTATCGCTCTTCAGTATCCATTTCTTTAGAATGATCGCTGAACTGAGTTTTCGGGGTATGAAATAATTCGGGATCCATTTTGGACATAGGAATATCTTCCTGAGCCATGTTGAAATGATACACGAGTATGAGTGATGATATGTTTGTTTGTTGTGGGATGAAGGAGAGGAAGAGTTTGGCAGCAAGCGACGGCGTGGACTTAAGGGAAGTGAGCTGAAATCAGGCGAGAAGAACTTTGAAGGACATGAGCAGCATTTCACAGAAGCAACTACCCGCAGCAAATCACGGAAGGCGCTGGCAGTAGATGTAGGCAAGAATGTCACTGCCCGTCGCTGTTCAGTTTGTCACTCAATCAAGCCCGTAAACATCCACAAAAGCTTGTGATTTCCATGTTTGCATGTATCTCTGATGAATATGCAGCTGCTTACTTTCCAATGTAAGCTTTGCTAAAAAGCTTTTCGCAATACTGAGTTGTCGGAGGTTAGGGTTGCTAGTTGTTTCATTATCGGGGCCGAATGGCATAAATTGTTTGCTGCGCAAGGTTATGCCAAACGGCACATGAGGTCGTTTGCAGCAACCACTTGGCGTCCGCAGACACTCAGATCGATGTATAAGATACGCAGAGAATTGCAGGATCACTGCAAGCCGGACCTCCGGGAGCAAGAAGACACCGGACCTTTTTGTAGGATGTCAAAATAAACTCAGCAAAAGACATCCTAAATTTAGGTAGTAAAGGTATCCTAAATTTATGCAAATTTACCTAAGTCTTTTTGTCATTTAGGATCAAGGTCCTGAGTTTTATTTCTTCCCCTACCTAGCCAGAATATCCTGGTGACACAAGCACTCATGCAAGCCCGGCATCTTACGTTGACGCAAAAAAGATTGCCTGTCGCGCATAAGTTTTGACACCCTCATCCGCCAAATCCTCATCCTCAACCCGATCAAACCTCCACTTCTCAGGCAACATATTCATAAGCATCTCTGCGACCTCAATACTCCACTTCTCCCAAAACGCCTGTATGTCCGCAGTCCAACGACACGTAGCGTAAAAGCCAATGCCTGCCAGGACAATCGCGATGAAGCAAGGTGCCAGCACTGCCGGCTCGGGCCACCGCGTGACGACAAAGTACATCGCCGTGCCAGCTGCGCCAGCCCAGATGCCAAGATGCACAAGGAAGATGAAGAGCAGAAGGAAAGTCAAAATTATGAGGACGAACAAGCAGCGGATGAGGAAGAAGAAGATATACCCGGCGATAGCACGGTTGCCGACAGAATTGAGACGGTGCGATGCAGACCGCGACTTGGGCGTGAAGCGGTTCAGCATCGTTACACGGACGCGCATGGCAGAGAGTCTGACGGAAGGCGAGCGGACAAAACTGCGAATGAGATAGGTTATGAGAAAGACTAGGCCGAGAGAGAGACCCCATGTCCACATCTTGGGCGGTGACTCAGTGAGTTCTGCGACTTGCATGGAGAAGACGGATGTGATGAAGGACAGGGGTATGAAGAAGAATGCGAGTTCGGTGAGTTTGTTAATACCAGACGTTTGATCGATGACGAGAGATGATTGGGCGATGCCTGTTGAAGCGACCAGGAGATTGAGCGTTTGTTCTGAGCGTGACTGCAGGGATTGGAGATCAGCCGTGAGCTCGGCCATCTCTTCCTCCAGCTTTTCAGGTAGATTAAGAATATTCTTGGACTTTCTGATATGGCCGATCCACTCACTAAGCTCCTGCAAAGTCGACCTTATCCACGCTACATTCTGTCTTGTCATTGTACCAGCAGCTTCGAGCAAATGAATGTGCAGGTCTGCGCCAAGATCAGCATCAACATGATCCTGCATCAACCGGAGTTCGGCTAGGAGCTGCCACATATCATCGAATGGGAGTCGCGTGAGGATAGACGGAATCATCGAATCGTCCTGATTGAGCGTGCTCGTGGGTATCTTGCTTATGTATCGGTACACAAGATCAAAAGTGGATAGCGAGTACTTGCGCGCAAAGTCGCGATCGCGTAGTAACTGCTGACGATGTTTGTAGGCCTTTCGGAGCGACTCTCGATACTCTTCGTCGAACTCGGAGTCGCTGGAGTATTCTGAAGCGGTGTCGTTGCCTTTCTCATTGACAGCGATTGACTGTTCATGTTTATTCCTTCTAGCTTGTGCTCGCCTTCTCCTGGCTTCCTTCTTGTCTTTCTTCAATTGCTTCTTTGAAAAGGTTGGCGGAGGTGGATCCAGGTACGTCTCATCGGGGTCAGCGACACGCCAAAGCTCTTCATCCGTGTACGACTCAAACTCCATGGCTCGAGGCATGAATGTTAGAGATGGTGTTGTCTCTTTGGTCTTGTCGTGCTGCATAGTTCGTGGTGGGTCAAAGACCAGGATAACTGCGCGTGTCAGTCAATGTTACCAGTCTTCCCTGGACATACTTACTTGTCTTTCGACCCTCCTTGTCAACACTTGACCAATAACCCAAGCCTTCAGGGGCCATGACTCTGAGATCTCGATTGCTCCAGTAAGTTGGGTTCTGCGGTAGCACAGGGTGGAACGTGCTGTAAGGACGATACACATTCGATGTCTTGGCTCTTGTCGATGTGCCTTCAATCTCGTGGCCACTAGATGTTGTCGGAACCTCAAAAGCACTCAAGCTCTTCTTTTTTGCCTTTTCCTCTTTCTCTCTCTTCTCCTTCATCTTCTTCTCTGCGCGCTTTTTTCTCTTGTCGGTCAGAAGTAGTCCATACTTGTCAAGAACAACATCTCGTTCAATTGTCCAACGTCCATCAGAGATGCGTTTCGCAATCTCATCCTCGTAGAAACCCTTGCGCCCGAGGTAATGAAGGAGACCAAGCCGACCCCAACGAAGATGTGCCCATTCACGAGTCTTGGTTCTCCGTGACAGGTT